AAGAGAGATGATATAATTTGTATTGGACTGTTGAAGACAGCTACCGTTCATCATTTCATGTCTCTACAGCAACGTTGTCATAGTGTTACCTAGAGAGATGATGTAATTTGTATTGGACTGTTGAAGACAGCTACCGTTCATCATTTCATGTCTCTACAGCAACGTTGCCATGGTGTTACCTAGAGAGATGATGTAATTTGTATTGTACTGTAGAAGACAGCTACCGTTCATCATTTCATGTCTCTACAGCAACGTTGTCATAGTGTTACCTAGAGAGATGATGTAATTTGTATTGGACTGTAGAAGACAGTTACCGTTTATTAATTAATATCTCTGCAGCAACGTTGCTATTGTGTTACCTAGAGAGATGATGTAATTTGTATTGGACTGTTGAAGACAGCTACCGTTCATCATTTCATGTCTCTACAGCAACGTTGCCATAGTGTTACCTAGAGAGATGATGTAATTTGTATTGGACTGTTGAAGACAGCTACCGTTCATCATTTCATGTTTCTGCAGCAACGTTGCCATAGTGTTACCTAGAGAGATGATGTAATTTGTATTGGACTGTTGAAGACAGCTACCGTTCATCATTTCATGTTTCTGCAGCAATGTTGCTATGGTGTTACCTAGAGAGATGATGTAATTTGTATTGGACTGTTGAAGACAGCGACCGTTCATCATTTCATGTTTCTGCAGCAACGTTGCTATGGTGTTACCTAGAGAGATGAGGTAATTTGTATTGGACTGTAGAAGACAGTTACCGTTTATCATTTCATATCTGCAGCAACTTCGCGATATTCAAGCGAATTTTGTGTTATGAGCTTAGATTTCAGGAACGATATTGTAAAACTGAGAGATAATTTACAGAGTTATACAACATTTAAATTTCTAGAACTTGCTGTGATTTATAGGGTTAGCTTTCGTTTGATCAAAAGCTCTTAATAATCACTAAGTGCTTTTAATAATGCCTTCATCCAAACTCACCAAGACTCAGTGCCTATTACCCATTAGCTTCTAAAGCATTATCCTTTTCCCCTCCAATTTGTATTAATTTTGATAAGATTAGAAGCATTCTTATATATAGAAAGTAAAGTCAAATAACATATTGATAATGGAACTAATCAAAAGTAAAAAGGCTATTTTTTCACTGTTCATTCGTCTATGTTGTCAATTACACAATAGAACAGATACATAGACAAAACACACACATATACACACACACACACATATATAGGGTGAAATATAACTATCAAGTAGTCGAGCTACCAAGTTAGGTGAACGCGGCTTGTTAAATACAGTGCGATTGTCTTATTTAAAAGTTTAAGTTATTAAACCATTTCTTTATATTACAAAGGAAACAAATTAGAAAATAATTTATGTATTTATGAACCTCTTCTGACTCCTTTAGTTAGCTTTCTTGAACGACTTTTCAGGCTCCATGTTGAAGTTGCTTTTAGGTGGAGTCAGAATAAATAGCTAGGTAGGTAGGTCCACAAAACACTAGTAATAGCCTTGTATACACCTTTTAAATATAGTGTAAAGCAGAGGAAATTCCTTACAAAGCAGATTGGTACATTCCTCAAACACATGTATATGTAATACATACGCAATACTGATAAAGATAACACAAAAAGATCATCAGACATTCGACAAAACAGCACCCAGGAGAAAACGCAAATTAATGTACCTATAAAACAAATAAATGGCTGGTTCACTAGTATTGATTTCCTTTTGTACCATCATAGATGTTTTTACTTTCACACTGATATCTTATGGAACGTAAAGAAAAGATACTCTTCACATCTAAAAATCACTGTTCAGTTTGATAAGTTACTGTAGCTGCTAAACAAAAATTCATTTGTTATAACCAAGAGAAATGATTTCTTTCATTCGAAATACAGGGACAACCCCTCTAATATTTATTCGCGTTTTGAAACGTGGTGTTATATTATTTTAATTATTTTTTTCTCAGTGCCTCCAACTTCGATATATGTTTAGATATTGTTTGATTTTCTCACATTATATGTAACAAAGTGAAATTTAGGCAAGCCTACCCCGATGTAACGTTATTCCTGTAGAATTCAGGATTTATGCATATTTCAGCCAGAATTGCCTGTAAAAAGTTCACTCTTGAGTGTTTTAAACTATTATCTTAAGATTGTGACATTTTACTGTTAACTATTTGCATTGGTCTCAACCGCTGTCTAACTTAAAAATCAGTTATCCGTGAGTTCAGTGAAGTCCTAGGAAAGATCAGTATGTTTAGCATTCTGTGAATTGAAGTATGTGCCAGCTACGTCCAGCCAGACCTCTTGTCGTCGAATGTATTAATTTGTTGAAGTATGTGCCAGCTGCGTCCAGCCAGACCTCTTGTCGTCGAATGTGTTAATTTGTTGAAGTACGTGCCAGCTGCGTCCGGCCAGACCTCTTGTCGTCGAATGTGTTAATTTGTTGAAGTATGTGCCAGCTGCGTCCAGCCAGACCTCTTGTCGTCGAATGTGTTAATTTGTTGAAGTATGTGCCAGCTGCGTCCAGCCAGACCTCTTGTCGTCGAATGTGTTAATTTGTTGAAGTA